TCTGCATGACTCTGCTTCTTGGCCTTTGAACATCAAACATCACATGATCCTGACATGAGTGCCATAAAAAAAAGTCCTCAAACAACTTTTGGTTTTATTTGTTTAATAAATCAAAATGACCTCTCCAATCTCACATCTGGTCTGATCCAATTGGTCTCACTTAATGAACTGTAACCAGAGGAACCCCTTAGTGCATGCTGGGTGTGGAGGAATTTTAACAAACACAACATCGCTGATAAAGTAAACCTGACATCCATGCTGTGGTCTCTGTGTGCATCTGGACCCGGTGACAACATTACCTATTGACGCAGCAACCACTGTAAGTTATATTCTTGTTTAATTAGACTTCTCGGTTTCATTTATTCGACTCTGTATAATTGTTACTGTAGCTTAAACGGCTAAATCGCTTTTGAGAGATTTTAAATCTCAGATCTGCTCAGGCGAAACCTGCTTTACAGCTCTCAGCACTCAAGCCTGCATTATTAACATAGGCAGGGCCAGTCTATTGATTGCGTGAAGTAGAACCGCGTGACTCAGTCATCCTTTAGCTCAAAAAGCATTTAAATACCGCATTTAGAAACTGATGAACTCAGTGTGCATCTGGACCCGGTGACAACATTACCTATTGACGCAGCAACCACTGTAAGTTATATTCTTGTTTAATTAGACTTCTCGGTTTCATTTATTCGACTCTGTATAATTGTTACTGTAGCTTAAACGGCTAAATCGCTTTTGAGAGATTTTAAATCTCAGATCTGCTCAGGTGAAACCTGCTTTACAGCTCTCAGCACTCAAGCCTGCATTATTAACATAGGCAGGGCCAGTCTATTGATTGCGTGAAGTAGAACCGCGTGACTCAGTCATCCTTTAGCTCAAAAAGCATTTAAATACCGCATTTAGAAACTGATGAACTCAGTGTGCATCTGGACCCGGTGACAACATTACCTATTGACGCAGCAACCACTGTAAGTTATATTCTTGTTTAATTAGACTTCTCGGTTTCATTTATTCGACTCTGTATAATTGTTACTGTAGCTTAAACGACTAAATCGCTTTTGAGAGATTTTAAATCTCAGATCTGCTCAGGCGAAACCTGCTTTACAGCTCTCAGCACTCAAGCCTGCATTATTAACATAGGCAGGGACAGTCTATTGTCGCCCATCAGCTGTAGATAGTTAACTAATTAACTTCAGCTGTGAGAACTGAGCAATCAGGCGTCCATTTCGGGTAGCTCCTTCCTGGAGCGTCAGCTTCAGCGGCAGACAGGCTAAGACTGACAAAGACATTAGAGTCCTACAGGAGTAAGACTGACAAAGACATTAGAGTCCTACAGGAGTCACGAGGGAGGCAAAGAGGAGGCAAATCCTACTTTGATTGAGCTAAGTATCGTTGGTGTTTTTAATTTTTAATTTTGTTGTTTAGCCCCTCATGCTATAATCATGTGTATTTTCTCCATTCCTGTTCATGTGTCTTCTCGCAATTATCACTGGCCCCGTGTATCTCGTAATCGATATAACCGGCCTGCTCTCGTCTATCCCACGTGCTCCACTGAGATCCAACATCTAGTTTCAGGTGGCCTGTGGAACTGCCAGTCAGCTGTTCCTAAGGCTGATTTCATCTCTGGCTACACCTCCCTGCAGTCTCTGGATTTCCTTGCTCTCACTGAGACCTGGATTACTCCATCCAACACATCCACCCCAGCAGCTCTCTCCACTGCATATTCCTTCTCCCATACACCCAGACCCACTGGCAGAGGAGGTGGCACTGGTCTCCTGCTCTCTCCCAAATGGAGCTTTTCCCTCTTCAAGCTACCTAACTTTACTCCTTCCACCTTTGAGTTCCATGCCGTCACAGTAACCCATCCTATACAGTTAACCATTGTTGTTCTCTACCGTCCACCAGGCGCCTTGGGGACTTCTTGGAGGAATTAGATCATCTCCTCTCATACATCCCTGAAACTGGCCCTCCCGCTGTACTTCTCGGAGACTTCAACCTCCAGATGGGGAAGATAGACGAACTAACATCTCTGTTAACCGCCTTTGCTTTCTCACTCTCTCCGTCCCCACCGACTCATAAAGCTGGCAATGTCCTTGATCTCATATTCTCAAGGAACTGCGCTACTTCTAACCTCTCTGTAAACCCGCTCCACACATCCGATCACTTCTTCATTTCATTCTCTCTATCCCTTTCCAAACATAACAAACTAATCTCTTCCCATCCTACACTTGTCCGCCGTAACCTTCGCTCCCTCTCTCCCTCTACCTTTGCCTCGTCGGTGCTCTCAGCCCTCCCTTCCTCTGATTCGTTCCAACTACTGCCTCCAAACTCTGCTGCAGAAACTCTCCTCTCTACTCTCTCATCCACTCTGGACTCGCTCTGTCCTCTGACATCTCGGCAGGCTCGTCAGTCCCCTCCGGCTCCCTGGCTAAATGATGCACTGCGTGCTAATAGAACCGTCCTTAGGGCAGCAGAGCGGAAATGGTGGAAATCCAAACACCGTGACGACCTCCTAACCTATCAAGCTCTCCTCTCCTCTTTCTCTGCTTCGATCTCTCAGGCAAAAAGCACTTTCTTTCAAGATAAGATCCAATCTTCCTATTCCAATCCTAAAAAACTATTTTCCATCTTCTCCACCCTCTTGGACCCTCCAAAAGCTCCTCCCCCCTCCTCACTTCTGTCAAGCGACTTTGTTACCCACTTTGAAAAAAAGGTTAATGATATTCGCTCTTCTTTTTCTGACTCACCTTTACTCACCGCTGGGTCACCAGACCTTCCTTCCACCAACACACTAACCTCCTTTTTCCCCTCTCTCTCCAAGTGAGGTTCTTACCCTCATTACCTCTGCCCGCCCTACCACCTGTCCTCTGGACCCTATCCCTTCAAACCTCCTTCAGACTATCGCTCCTGATATTCTACCGTTTCTCACCCATTTCATCAACACTTCTCTAACTTCTGGTCACTTTCCAAACAGTCTCAAGGAGGCAAGAGTAAACCCTCTCCTAAAGAAACCCACTCTCAACCCGTCTGATGTTATAAACTACAGGCCTGTCTCTCTCCTCCCGTTCCTGTCTAAATCACTTGAACGCGCTGTCTTTAAACAACTCTCCTGTTATCTCAATCAGAACAACCTTCTGGATCCGCACCAGTCTGGTTTCAAGGCAGGTCACTCCACAGAAACTGCTCTCATTGCTGTCACGGAGGAACTGCACACTGCCAAAACTGCATCCCTCTCCTCTGTCATCATCCTGTTGGACCTGTCTGCTGCATTCGACACGGTGAATCATCAGATCCTCCTTCGCACTCTCCAAAAACTTGGAGTTTCAGGCTCTGCACTTTCCCTCCTCACCTCATACCTGAAAGACCGTACCTACAGGGTGACTTGGAGAGGGTCTGAGTCCGACCCTTGTCAATTAACTACGGGGGTCCCTCAGGGCTCTGTTCTTGGTCCTCTCCTCTTCTCCTTGTACACAAACTCGCTCGGATCAGTCATTAGCCCGCATGGTTTTTCTTACCACTGCTACGCTGACGACACCCAATTAATTCTGTCCTTTCCCCGCTCAGAGACCCAGGTCGTCGCACGCATCTCTGCTTGTCTAGCTGACATCTCTCAGTGGATGTCTGCTCACCACCTCAAGCTCAACCTTGACAAGACTGAGCTGCTCTTCCTCCCGGGAAAAGATTGTCCAACTCTTGACCTGACAATCAACATCGGCACCTCAGTTGTTTCCCCGACTCAGACTGCAAGGAATCTGGGTGTGACCCTAGATAACAACCTGTCCTTCACTGCAAACATCGCTGCTACAACCCGCTGCTGCAGATACACGCTTTACAACATCAGGAAGATACGTCCCCAGCTGACTCAGAAAGCGACTCAGGTTCTGGTCCAGGCTCTCGTCATCTCACGCCTAGACTACTGCAACTCCCTCCTGGCTGGTCTACCTGCATGTGCCATCCGACCTCTGCAGCTCATCCAGAATGCAGCGGCTCGTCTGGTTTTCAACCTTCCTAAATTCTCCCACACCACTCCGCTCCTCCGCTCCCTTCACTGGCTTCCGGTAACTGCTAGAATCCACTTCAAGACACTGGTACTTGCTTACCGTGCTGCGAATGGATCTGGCCCTTCCTACATCCAGGACATGGTTAAACCGTACACCCCAGCGCGTGCACTACGCTCTGCATCAGCCAAACGACTCGTTGCGCCCTCGCTGCGAGGGGGACCCAAGTTCCCATCGGCGAAAACACGTGGGTTTGCTATCCTGGCTCCAAGATGGTGGAATGAGCTCCCCATTGACATCAGGACGGCAGATAGCTTGCACATCTTCCGGCGCAAACTGAAAACTCATCTCTTTCGACTCCACTTCGAGCGTTAGAACGATTAACGAAGCACTTTTATACTAATAAAGGACTGGATTACCTAAAGCCAGTTGAGTAGCACTTGAAATGTTTAGCTCTATGAAACCTGATGTACTTATATGATTCTGTTTTCTTCAAGGTTGTGTCTTCCTGGTCGAATGTACTTATTGTAAGTCGCTTTGGACAAAAGCGTCAGCTAAATGCAATGTAATGTAATGTCTCTCGAGTGGAAACGGGGAAAACAAGCTAATAGTGGCCTCAGTATAGAGAGCTTTTTCATCTTGGTAGAAATATTGCAGACATATCTTAGATTTAGCCAAAGCCGCATGTGTATGAAAGCTGTGGAAAAGACTCTAATCTTAACATCAAACCACTTGTAAACCAGAGCCATCAGGGGACAAGATGAATGCTGTTGTTGAAAGAAGCCCCCCTGCAGAGTATCCAGCTGCCTCTACACCACCCTGACCCTTTTCCCTAGAGGCCTCCATCAAGCTGTACACACATATAAGAGCACAGCACACATACCAGCAGTACAATACACTGTGGTGATTAACTGACTGAAGCTTGCAAGAGTGCTGGCTTTGTTCCCCGCTCAGACTGGGCGGTTGGGTTTAGGGCCAATAAGGGGAGAAAAGCATGTGGGGTAGTTTGGGGGAAGAGGGGGACATGAGGCCAGTGTTGCCTCTCGCTACTGCTACTGCTGCCAATGTGTGTCCAGGAGCTGGATACCCAAACAGGACTGTTGCTGGTGGAAGCAGTTAGGATTCTGCTGCTGTTTTGTTGTTGAGCAACAATAAGGAGAACAAATAGAGGTAAGAACTTCAGTTTGCAGGACGATATACAATGTGGGTGTATCAGAATTAGGGAAACTAAATTGTGGTCACTTTGAGAGGGATCTACAGCCACAGAGAAATGGACGTGACACAAGTGAAGAAAGAGGATGATAAGAAAGAGAAGACAGAAGAGGAGGTGGTGCACCTTCGGAGAGAGATCGGCCTGCTGCCCGCCGTGTGCTTCATCATCGGCACGGTGGTGGGCAGTGGGATCTTCATCGCTCCAAAGGGGGTCCTGATAAATAGTGGCAGTGTGGGGCTCTCTCTGCTGGTCTGGGCGCTGTGTGGGGTCCTCTCCTTGTTTGGTAAGAAGCTGATGGTTAACTCTATTTTGTATTACCTTCATGAACAGAATTATACATTTGTTAACTAATTGTATATTTGGTACATCATGGAATGGAATGTTTTAGGAAACAAAAAACACACAAGCTATTTAAAAACTGTTAATCCTTGCAGTATAATTCCTTTTGCTACAGAACTAGGCAGTACGATTATTACAATAATGGTAGCATTTAGTAGGTAGGCTATTTAACTTTTTTTTATTTGTTTCATCTTAGTGTCAATTTGTTTTTAATGTGTCTGTCAATTCATTTTCAATCCATCAATTATTAAAAGTAACAACTAAAATAATTGACGTTGTAACAACTCAATCTTTATGGTGTAAACCTTTTGCACATTTTGAAAAAAATAGATAATCAAAAAAATGAGGTGTATTGCCACATTATTGAGGTACAAATGCCTGAATAAATACTTGCATAAATAAATAAAAGAATGAAAACAATTATTCTGAAATTAATACATTACATATTAACTGTTGGGGAATATTTTCCAAGGCCCATAACTTTGACCCAGTGTATCAGTTCAAACTGTCCTGACTGAGCACACGCACCTCGTAACCTTGGCTGCTGTGCTCTCAGTGTTCTCTCTCCCTGTTCCTGCCTGTTGGCATCAGCTGATAGAGGTGTTATGATTCTATCTTGTTATGCAGCATGTTGATGATGCTCTCGGAACTAGCTAAATACATGGGTCTGGGGTAGAGTTCTTCAGAATTGACGTGGCAACTCTCCCGTGCAGTCAGATCGTGGCTGCTGTGACTTGTGATGTGAATCCTCCGGCCGAAGCTCCAAATAAACCATCAGTGTTTGACATCAAAGCTCCTGCTCTTCCCGTGTCTCTTTCCTGAGTCGGTGACTCCCACTGCATTGCTGCTACACAGAAGTTTCCCTTACACTAACTGCCTGACGAAAAATGTATATATTTAGAAAAAATTGCATTCCACATCATGATATAATAATCATATTCTAATTCAAACAATAACACTGATTGGTGACACCTCACAAATGGTTTTGATTAAATGAATTACCTTTAATATGCTGCTCTCTGTTTCATTAGGGGCCCTGTGCTATGCTGAACTGGGTACCAGCTTCACAAAATCAGGGGGCCACTACACTTATCTACTGGAGACACTGGGGCCACTGCCTGCCTTTTTACGACTCTGGGCTGAGTTCTTTTTCATCAGGTTTGTCAATTTTAAATGTATTCACATTTAATGACTTTAATTTGAGTGTCAGTCTGAATGTTTGCATAGTTAGCCGTTGACTACGTCTGGTATTTGTGTATTGTACCCTCCTTTTGAGTGTAACATTAAGTGAGTAGCTTGTATAACCAGGGAAGAAAATGACAAAAGAAAGAAAAAACATATTTATCAATTAAATCAGACTATTTAACAACATTTGTTTATGTCCAGGCCTTCTGTGGCTTCCTATGTGTCCCTGGCGTTTGGCCGCTATGTGGTGGAGCCGTTCTATGCACCCTGTGATGCTCCCACAGTACTGATCAAACTTGTCAGCATCTTGGGATTGAGTAAGTACTTTTATACCTCTGTCTTCTATCCACCACTACCCGACATGGCCATGTAATAAAACATAGTCATAACCTTCTGTTTTTCTATATGTTTGTCTTTGTGTCTCTGTAGCGTTTGTGGTGGCGGTGAATTGCTGGAGTGTGACCATGGCCTCCCGCACTCAGGTCACCTTGACTTTTATCAAGATGTTTGCTCTGGTCCTCATCATCGTCCCCGGTTTCATCGCACTGGCCAAAGGTGGGAGGGTGTAATTGTTTCCTTATGAGGATACAGATGTCTCTCCAGCTGTTAAATGATCATCAATTCACGTTCTTCTTTTTTCTTTCCAGGAAAAACTGAGAACTTCCAGAACGGTTTTGAAGTTGAGTCAATAACACTGGATAGGTTGCCGCTGGCATTCTATAATGGCCTATATGCCTACGGTGGATGGTAAGAATATTTTATCGCAGTATGAATGACGGCTTAAAACCTCTTTATGTGTTCTTACTGTCATTATAATAACCAGTAATAATACAAACAATTGTTGTGTATCCCCTTTTCCTTTAGGTTTTATCTGAACTTTGTCACAGAAGAGGTCATTAACCCAAATAGGTATATTTGCTCCAACATCTGTCCCATCTTAATCTATATGTTAAGGCACTGTTAACTCATAAATAATATCATATGTCACTGCTTGTTGACAGAAACATCCCGCTGGCAATAATCTGCTCCATGGTGATGGTGACAGTCTGTTATGTGCTTGTTAACGTGGCCTATTACACCATGATGACTCCTGCTGAGCTGCTGCTGTCTGAAGCTGTGGCTGTGGTCAGTGCTGTGCTGCTACCTTGCATTTAAAATGAAAATCATTGAGAAATAGAAACGGTATGTTACAATGCTCCAATCCTGTGTGTCTGCAGACGTTTGCCAACCGTGCTCTCCAGGGAATGGCCTCTGTGATTCCCTTTCTTGTTGCCCTATCCTGCCTTGGAGCGCTTAACGGTGGTTTCTTCGGGGCACCGAGGTAATCTAGGAACATATTTTTGATTGAAATGAGCCAGGAATGTTAACAGCCTGATTGGAAGTCTTGTTTTGACTGTTTGTGTTGCAGGATGCTGTTTGTGGGAGCCAGGGAGGGTCACTGGCCTCCGATCTTTTCCATGATTCACATCCGCAGACACACACCATTGCCTGCTGTGCTGTTATTGGTAAAGTACTTAAAAGATATACTCTTACCAGCTATTCATTTAACATTCCACCACAGTCTTCTCAAGCTGATAAAGTTAGCTTTTTAAGTTTTGTTTTTTTGTTAAACTACTGTTTCAACGGGCAAGTATGGATACTTAATGTATGTTTGGTTTTAAATCCAAAAATAATAATAAAGAAGTAATTGAAAATGTCTTTGATATACAATGCAATATTATATACTTTATTTTCATTTGTAACATGGTATTTTTATGTTGTATGCACAAATGATGTGATATTTCAGAGGATCTCTAATTAACCAATAACTTGTTTTCTAAAAAAGCATTTCATATTTGCAATATTTATAATGTCTATTGTCTGTTTCATATCACTGAGCAGGCTGAGTATGGATCAGTCATTATACTTGTGTTGTGTCTGCAGTACCCCATGGTGGTGGTGGTGATGTTAATGACAGGAGAGATCTACCAGCTCATCAACTTTGCTTCCTTTTCTCGCTGGTTCTTCATCGCCTTGGCAACCTTGGGGATGCTCATCCATCGATATCGCTTCCCCCTCCACCCAAGACCTTTCAAGGTTAGATTCAGAGGCTTTATTGTCATATAAACAGCAGCTAGTGTAGATAGGACAATGAACATCTTAAGTCCCTCCAACAATGCAACATAAATATATACATATATATATATATATATAGTATATATACACACATAAAACGAAACCAATAAAATAGTGCATGAAGAAACAAAGTACAATAAGCTAAATGTTGCAGAAAATAAGGTTAATAATAATAATGAGAGAATAATAGGTTAGTGTGTCAAACTGCAGACATCTCTACAATAAAGCAAACTGACCTGTTTTATTTCCACCCGAAGGTGCCACTGGTCATCGCGGTCACCTTCACCGTGGTCTGCTTCTTCATCGTGGGTCTCTCTCTGTACTCGGACCCCTGGAACACAGGGATCAGCTGTGCCCTCACCCTGACCGGGGTCCCAGTGTACTATCTGACCGTCTACCGCTACCGCCTGCCCCATTCATGGAGACGCTTCTTCGGTAGGTCACACCTAAATCTGCACACTTGTCCTTTTGTAAAAGTTTTATGAGAGAATGCAGCAACGGTAAGATTTGGATATAGCCCTTTGTATAAAAGTGATGTTTTGTACTGTAACAAAGAGAAGGAATTCAACACGTTTTGAGTATTGCCAGAATCCAAATCCTTTTCAACAGAACTCTCTTTTCTTTCCCCCAGACTACTTGAGCAAGCAGCTGCAGATCCTTTTGGAAGTGGCTCAGCAGGAAGTGCGAACATACTGAAGACCGCTTTCTACTGAATAACACCGTGAGAAGTCCTAGAATACTATTTTGTTACGGGTTTGAAGCCGTTTTAGCTGTCCATTTTGATACTAAAATAACTGTAATGTGCTGTTTTGAGAAAACTATTAAAACTACAAATGACCCGGCTGGTTTATCTGACTTTTTTTGTACAATTTGAGAAAAAGTAAAACACTATTTCAGTTTCAGGAGGGGCTTTCTTTAGTTCTCATTCATCAGAAACATCTAAATCTCTGCTTAAGTGCCCAAGTTCTGTAAGAAACAATGTATAAATGTTTTTTACCTTTTACTCAAGTGTAAATAAATGAGGTATTGCTATGTAGTTTAACAGATGGAATACACAGTAGAAGGGTAAGTAGTGTGTAGTTAGTGTAAGGCTGGTTAGTGTAAATGTTTGAATTGTTAGCAAGTCGAGGGAAATCAAAGCCGTCTTTCATCGAAAACAATAATGAATACACAATGATGTGCCAACACCAGCAGATTTATTGTTCAGTCATAAACAACAAAACAGAACAAGTCACATGTTACGAAATCTGTTTGCTACAAACCACAACACTCTTGCTTTCCATTCAGCAGCAACTGTTAACAGATCACTGCAATGCAATCCCTCTCACATACAAACACGCATTCTGACAAACTTGGAGGAAATATTAAAGCCAAACATTATTCTGTGACATTTTCAGAACGCGGAATATCTCCCATTCTGACCTCCAAAGATGGTTCTGCAAAAGCTATTCTGTTTGTGCTCACAGGAAAATACAATTGCGTCTGAAAACTATTACAATGTGTGCTAGATAGATACAAAATATTTAGTATATTGCTCCATAAGACTTCCTTAAAACACGGTGTTGACACGAGGAGTCACTGCATGCAGAATGCAGCTCTGTGGTGAAGATGGTTCTAACCCTATTGCTGTTAGCGCTACTTGTAATCCTCTGCTACGGTTTATTGCTAACAATCTCACAATCTACAAGTCGATTCGCATCTGGCTGGCTTATCAGGCAATATATTGTCTTTACATTTACATACGCAAAAGCTAAATTATATATTAAAATGTGCAAATCAACATACATTCACATGCACAGATATGATAGGAAGGATCAAAAGAAAACAGGAAGACATTCACTTATAGAAAAAAGCCCTTAATGAAATAACCAATGAGAATGCTAGAAAGTGGAGAGGAACTTTGAAATGGAACTCTTTTCCCCATTTTCTCCTCTAGTGTTTTCATGTGGTCGAAAATGTTTTCGCCCGTACTCTACTTAAATTGAGGGATGAACTCGGACCAGCTGATATTAGCCATACCCAGGTCCTCCTCAACCAGATCAGAGAAGCTAATGTCCACCAGGATCTCCCTCAAGCTGTCATTCATCGTGTCCAGGACGAGGCCCTCCGTGATGGAGCGGTTAGCGGTGCCTCCTCCCGCATGGAGCAGCTCTCCGGAGCCGTCGCTTCTGAGGCCCTCCATGGGAGAGTCTGTGCTTGCAGGGGGGGGGAGCGACCGTGAACAGCTCTCTGGGGGAGCTAAACAGAGGCCAGTCTTTAAAGGGAGTGCTGTTGAAGCTAAAGGTGGTGTACTCGTGTCGGGGGGTCACTGCAGGACCGCCTGGCGTGCGGATGGGACTAAAGTCTAGAGCGCTCTGGCTCCCTTTGCCCACGGGGGTCACTTTCCAGGGCTCGGGTAGGGCGCGAGAGGGAGGCTTGCTGGGCGTGGAGGAGGTCAGGTGGCTGCTGCTTTTTACGGGGGTCTTTGAGGAGGAGAAGCCTTGGTCGGGGCTCTGCTGCTCCTCCTCCTCCTGAGGCTCCTCCAGCTCCGTGGTCAGCATCTCCTGGAAAGTGGAAGCGTCGGAGACGACGCCGGAGTCCAAGAAGGTGTTATCGGGGCAGAGGAGGACCGGCTCCTCGTCCAGAGAGTGAACCAGCCGCTGTTTGCGCCGAGAGCTGCTGGCTTGTCTCTTCGGAGGGGCTTTAGGAGTCTCGCATTTAATCGGCACACACACCTGCTCTTCCTTCACCTTGAGGTCTTCGTTCTTCTGTGGATGCAGCACTACTGCCGGGGCGTCGCTTTGCATCACCTGTCGGACATAATAGGCTTAATATGCTTTCACTCCAGGTTATACGTTTAAAGCCTTTTGGCACAAATGCAGCATAACAACATGATAACAGTTCAAGGGACACAGGGAGGTAAAAGGTGTGATAAGTAAAAGAAAATAGAATGAAATAAATAGTTATCCCTCTTGGTAAAATAAAGGCAGACATAAAACTTAAGAGAATTAAATAATAATACCCATAAAATAAATAAAACAATTACACCATTTTAAATAATGGAAAAAATAAGATTTGAAGACCAATTGAAAAGGGGGTGTCGCTGAGAGATCTATGAAATAAATAAAAATATATCAAATCTATTAAATAAAAAATAAATAAATAAAAATAAACTGGGGGTGTCGCTTGTAAAAAAAAAGCTGATCTAAAAAGATGTGTCTTCAGCTGTTTAAAAATGTCCACTTCACATAAAACCTGCACTAGGACAAATGTACCAGAAACATTCCCACACATCATTCTTTGACAATATCCAACCAGACAACCTGATGTTTTTCTAAATCGCGCTACAAATCTACAACGCATGACAAGAGCTTTACCTTAGGAGCTATCCGCACTCTCTTGGCTCCTCTTGAAGTGGACCGTTTCTGCTGCGAGCAAGTGGGGGGGTACGGGGCGGGCGGCAGGTAGATGGAGGAGTTGACGGGGAGCTGGATGGGAACCAAGTAGGAATCGGTTCGAGGGAGAAGAGGTTTCATCCTTCTCTCTGAGTATAGAAAACACAACGGTTTAATGAAAATGTCTGACTTTATCTGCCATGTTTTCTTTTTCACTTTTCCAATTTCACTCACCAGAGCTAACTGGCATTTTTCTTGCATCAGGAAGCATCCTCTTTTGTTGCTGTAAAGAAAAAGGAAATGACATAGCGTTATTTTACAGTTAAATCAAACAGTGGCCTCACTGTACTACGCTTGACTACACTTAAGTGACAAGCTTCTCTCCCTTGTTTCAGTGTTGGGCGAGCTAGAACAGACACAAGTTAAAGTTAGACTTCTTATACAACATGTCCCTACACTTCAAGGAGAAATGATGGATGTATATCTGCTGCTCATTTCCTCTCCTCCTGTAAGAAAAAGATCTCCCTAGACCTCAGAGTGAAAGTCAGATTTTCTGTCCCTTTTCCACTGTCTGCTGCTTGACTGTAAAGAGGAAGACTGTTAGACCTAGAGATTTAAAAATGATCAAGCCATCTTACTTGGTTGGAAAATAAAAGCATTGGCACCGTAACAGGAGCGGTCATCGGATCACAACCAGGCTGTAGAAAAAGATGTGGAATTGAAGAAAACAAAGATGATTTAAAACCAAAAAAGCGGTTGATCATGATGAAATCAAAGAATAAAAAATGAAGAACATTAAGGCAAAAACATTCATTCAGTTTCAGTGTTGCATGTATTTTGTGGTCACCTTGTACACCTGATCAAGAGTGAGGCATCGGTTGGCCTCAGGTCGGATAGTCCAGAAAGAGATTTTACCGTCTGGTGACGTCTCACGAATAAACATATCGTGCAGAGAGAGGTTATGGCGGATGGAGTTCTGTAATTATAGAGAAGAAACAAAAATCTTGATTGCATGTTACAGTAAGTGACATTTAATTACATTTATCTGCTTTATTATATATAAATTGTACTTTTTTTCAGTTAAAAATCACCTTCCATCCTGGTTTGGCCACCTCTCTGAAGTAAGGGAAGTGGTCTTCGATCCACATGTAAATCTCTTTCAGTGTCATCCTCCTGCTCTTCCCACTGTTAATGGCAAACTGGATCATGGCCATGTAGGAGTACGGTGGGCGCTCTGACATGGGCTGCTGAGCCGACTCTGCATCAATTAGTGCATTTCGCGCCTGTAAAAGAAACAAAGAAAAAGAGTCTTCAATACATGATCCATCTTTTGAACTGTAGACACAAATGTTAAGATTAACTTGATATGTTGTTTTTTAAGTCTGCACAGGGCTTACTCCTAAATCTTTAGCCATTCAAACCTCTTAATTCTGGATTCACTTAGAAATAGGAATGTAAAAAAAAAACTGTAAAAAAAAAGGACATGCCTGGAAAAACAAAAAGCATTTTTGAAAAAAAATGGATCAAATACGAGAGTTAAAACAGACTTAAACCATTAAGCTCGTGCAGTTAATATACCATCTTTAAAATGTCTGGCCCATACAAATATTCAAACTGATTAACAACTTCAATTAAGCCGTTACAATAAAATCCTCATTAATACAATATTGCAATTATCAAGTTTTATATCATCAAATAATTTCAACTCAGCAGCACAAGTGTTATGTAATCCCCATACTAGAGAGATAACTGTATATCACAATAAAGTGGTGTGCCACTGAGACAGAAAGGATGGTGTTTAGGGGACATGCTGAGATCAGTGTCACACATAGACATACATCAGCAGTCAAAGTCCCACTGAGGTGACAAGGAGGAGCAGCTGACCTGAAAAGTGGTGAGGTTCTCCTTGATGGCCATCTGCTTGACAGGATCTGGTTGGAAGCCACATGTGTTCATTCTGCCGAGCCACTGAATATTGGTGAGGCTGTCGTCTAAAGGACCACACTCAAGTTCCTTATTCACTAATAAAGAAAGAGGAAAAAACATTATTGCTTCAAGAAAGGGAGGATTAAAGACAGATAACCAAGCTATGAAAGACTTAAAATGTCTCCATACATGCTTTAATTCCGGTGAGATGTTTAGCATCCGGGGAGCTGTGCATCGTTTCTGCTTTCGCTGATTGATCAACTGTAGAGACGCCATCCCCTTCAGCAGCAGGCTGGCAAAAAGATCCATTGTCCCGGCTGCTGTTCTCACTCAGAAGGATGAATTTGTTCCTCCCCTGGGCTCCACACTCTTTTCCTTTGGCAGTGAGGGCCCGGATAACACTTTGAAGGTCTGCTGTTTTGGGGACAACCACCACCTGTGTGTCAGACATGGAAGGGTGATCCATAATGCGGATGCCATCGGGGAATCTCTGAGTGGCAGCTGATGTTGAAGGTTCTTTGGAGCCCGATGTATCATCTTGGATTTTCAATTCAGCAGCTGGTGGATCATTTTGCTGAAAGGGCAACTTTCTTCTTCTGAGGATCAGGGGTCTCCTTGGGCTCCGTCTCATGATCATCAAATGCTCCTAGGTGTTCAGTGGTATTCTGTACAACTGTAACACAAAGACAAAAAATGGATGTAACAACCATATTGTTTCAAAACCTCCTAAAAGTCAACTTTGATCACACCATGCTAACTGGAAATAGGTTAGTTTACCTGGCAGAAGGTATGAAATCAATGCTAAGCTAGCTGGATAACAATGAAAGCAGGCGGGTTATAAACCGTTGCTTTGTACGCTTGACTATTTAGATTGACACGAAGAAATTAAAGAATATCAAATACCAGTACACATACTGTGCATTGGTAGGTCGAATTATATTCTAATAATATAGACCTGATAGGTGAAATTCAGCTCCGCTTTGACCCTTTTTTGCTTTTTTAGATGCAGTATCGCGCAGATTTAGCAGCCTGTCTCCGGATCACAAGGTTGTGTTCCCTGGCGACACATGCCTTCTAGAACTACAGTTGTTACATAGCTGCAGTTGGCGTGTTTTGCTAACGTTTACCGCTGACTCCATGGCAAACAGCCAACGTTTGGATCGGTTCATAACTGACTTATTTAAATATCAATATCAGAAAAATGTGGCTAGTGATTTAGATAAGCGACTAAATGTAATCTGAAAGGTTTCGCAGATTATAATAACCATTCAGGTGGCTTCTGTGTTAAAGCAAATAAAAGCGAGATAGCTAACGTTAGCTAGCTATGTGTTGCAACAAGAAGCGTTGCAAGTAATGGATTATTTGTCTTCTGAGGTATGCCGAATTAAAGGCTTTCTGTAAATTATTGGTAAAACATCCCAATTTTTCTTGCACCGATGTTTCTTTAAATACAGAGGTTGTAAATATTAAAATGTCACATTTCCTAAACGGGGTTCAATGTGTCATCCATTTGAGTCATGAGAAATAAATGCACCAGCATACACAATGCATATCATGGAGGAAATCTTTGTTTTGTGGCATCAAACCTTTACTAACATTACATTGTAACATTGTCGTTGTTACAGTCAACGTCAGCTAAATGTAAGCTAAGCTAAGGCAGCTACGTGGCGAGCTATCACGTAGGTTAACAGCTAGCACATAACACCATTGTAACAAAACTAGATAAAGCCAAACCTTCATATTACTGTGATGTTTCAGGCAATTCCGCGTTGCCTCTCTCCTGCTAATAGTTGAAACAATTGGCACATAATCGATGTTAAATCAAAGGATCCGTAATATGTATAATGGTTCATTTGGTCTTATTTACATGCTGCCTTGTCGATTCAACAACGTTTTTGAATTTTGGCGCTGTGGGTGCCACATCCGTCACTCTGATCACGTGGTATACATGTGCACCAATAGCGATCCAGAGAAAAATACCATATGGTCCCAACCCCCAATCAGAATCGACGTTGGTGGAAACCGGGAAATAGTAAGCAACAGGAAGACGGAAAACAAGAGAAGTTCCTAGTGGACAACAACAATGGAATACCTAACGTTTTATGCATGGGTTAATTGTTTGCAATAATTACTATGTCTAGCTCGAAGCATAACATTTAGGTAAGTTCTATGTCGTGCTAGAATTAAAACGTTCAAAAGTACACAGCTAAATGTTGACTCCTTAACCGTAGACCTGGATATGTCATTAGTGTATAGTATTTAAACCAGAAAATTACATGTGTCAAGTGATGTTTTAATTCCACTAGGTGTTCAGGAATGATCATTATTAATGCCCCGTAAAGCCAAAAAGACAGAGAAGCCTCCCCTGCCGTTCCTGGAGCATCCTGTGCGTGGAGCCAGACTCCAAAATGTGCCTGAAGTCCGAGCAGCACTCAATCCCAAAGAGTTTTTCACAGAGACACAGAGCAGTTCATCTCTAAATTCTTGGGTAAGTTCATTTATGTTAAACACCAGTGTTCATATCACAGAATGTGTTCTAACTGGAAGTGTCTGCAGTTAAACCTGACCTTTCTGGGGAGTTACTTTGGAGAATTATAACTATTTGATATGTGACTGAAAGTGTATTCCCCTCTACTCTTTTTAGGTAAGACCAGAATTTGATCGTTCAGTTGCAGCTGCACTCCCAGTGAAACGAGGCAGAAGAAAAAAGTGCCTCTCTGCCACAAGCATTTTTGACAATTCCAGTCAGCTGTCCAGGAAAAAGAGTGTGTGCCAATTCCCCTCATTATCTTTTCATACAAGGTCAAGAGACCAATCTAATCAACAAAGGAGTACACACACAAAGAAATCTTCAGAGTCTCCAGATATGTGTAAAACAGGAAATCAACCACAGGGAGCGTGCCAAATCAAAAGGACTGCACCGCACTCAGACACACCAAAGAGACAGACATCCACATTCAGAAAAAGGAATGTGAAGACACTTTCCAATGGGGCTGCATCCTCCAGTAGGTGTTTGCACCCACCTGAAAATCTATCTATTCAAGTCACAGAGAGATGCAGTATTCCAGCAGATGGTGATGTGACACCGGCCTCCAAAACGTGCAGCACCACTGAGGTCAGCAGTGTCAGTCCACCACCTGATGTTGACACTCCAAAAGTAATTCAAGAAGGGAGTAGTCATCCCTCCTCGTCCTCGCCACACTTGCTACAGGCTCAGCCATGTACACCACCATGTAATCAGCCACCGGAAATGTTAGTGGCTGACACACCAGAGAGGGATTATGGGTTGAAGGTGACATGGAGGAAGAGGAGGGGTCTGATGTTGTTGTTAAAAGAGAGGGGCCATCTCTCGGACTCAGATGTGTTTAATCACAGCTGATTTGGTAAGAAGAATAGAAGGCAATGATGAAAAAAGACATTGATTATTCATTGGACTGCTTCTTGTATAATTATTTGTATAAACTACTGTGATGTGTAAGGTGATGATCCTATTTCAGTTCATTTACTGTTTACCTTTTTTTTTATTTTGAACATCATAATGATAAACCAAGGATGTTATTAAATAACTTTGTAATTCTGTTCAACTTAAACCCTATTTTTCAAAATGCGTTGCATAACTATATAGAATAAAAGTACAATTCCAAAAAACAGCAAACTTAATTATTGGTTTATTAAGCCCTCTCTTAGGCTACAACTAAATTAAATATGTGTGGCCAGTTCAGAAAGGAATAACATCGACGTTTGTAACATAAAGTATATATGTCTTAAACCCAAGTCTACTTGTTGTCATGGTTACTGTAGCAAATCCTTAACAAAACCAGTTATTAATCCAAGTTTCTGAACAATAGGTGTTCTTATTGTAAGCTTTAAACCATGCTTTAAACATATTTACATGGTAAAAATATAAACAATCAATAGCTCTTCATAGACTGTATTTATAGAAAGCTCTCCACCCTTCTCTAGAATTTCTTCCAATCATCATCCACGTAAGTAATCGGTCAACCAATAGGAACACCCGTTCTTCGTCGGCTCGGTAACTAAGGACCGAGTAACAGAGCTCTTCTCAACCGCGTCCACAAAAAGTATCCTGCCGCACGAGGATCTTCCTTAGCAACCGTGAATAAACATGAGTTACTACAGCATAAGGTAAAATAAAACATACCTCGCATGTTCTTTGTGTTAGTATCTGTTCTGTTTGACCAACTGTGAAACGAGAAGCTAACCAGTGTCGTCACAGTTTGGTTTTTCGCGAAAAAACTTGACTGTCGCCCACAACTTTTATAAAGGCTCCATTGCATACAGTGGAGGCTGAGGCAGCTAACGTTAGCTTCTAATGGTAACAAGCTAGCTATAACAACCCCCAAATGGTAAATAGGCATAAATGGCAGTCGAAATTACTAGTTTTTATGTTTTATGTTAACTATTTATTGTCAAGCCAAGGGAGCGAGCTTACAGTCGGAGTGTCACAGCACAAAACCGCTTTAAAATGTGCATAACCATGGAAGTAAATTAATAATACAGCTACATCACCGCCAACACGACGGGCTCTGATACTGATTAGGTTTGCCTGCTGACAAACAACATCTCCAAGAGCCAGTTCTAATTCCCATTTGGAAAGAAATACTTCATTAATAGTGAGCGAACAACCTCTATCGAGTCTTTTTTGTTGAGCAATTTCCGTAGGTATTTCCGTCGATTTAATTTAGATAAACACAATTACATCATAGCTCCGTGAATATGTAGGATTGCATCGAATTTGGGTATGTGGAATGACTTGAATTGGACTCCACCGTTCTCTGTTTAATTACAATATATCAAGTCATATGCATCTTAGACATAGCTCATAAGGTGGAAGACACCCAAACACTGACTAGGTTTACGTTTTGTGAAGCCAGAGGCAAAACAAAGAAAAAAAATGTTTGCCTGTCATGTTGGAGCATGCCTTTTAGTCCTGTCTATTTCTGTGTCAAAGCATTCCTGCGAAGTAGTATGTCCTTACAACCCCAAATGAACGTAAATAAGTAAGGCAGGCAGTAGCCTAAATGCAAAACTTGGATTTGACTATATTTTAATGTAACAGAAGATGATAGCCACTGTCAGTCCTACACATAATGAACCATAGTGCTTCCTACACTTTGCTTTTGATGTACACTCTGCTGGTTATGCAAACAGGTGTTAGGAAAATGGATCTTATGTGTGTGTGTGCATGATGGACTACTAAACACCATATCAAGCACTGAAGCAGAGGTCTGCTTTCCTTGTGCAGGGAGATGCAAATCAAAGTAGCTCCCACCCTTTCCTGTTAAAGTTCCAGTCTGAATATTTGACTTTTTCAGCTTGTTGATAAGGGCTGTTATACAAGGCATAGGCACATAATGTAACATATTGCTTATTATAGTCACAGCGATGTCAAAGTATTTGAATTGCCTGCACCACAAACAAATATCTGGTTTCTTTTCTTTTCTCTCTTGTTTCATTGTCTTTGTTCTTAATACATCCGTAACATTTTGGAGCCTGCCGTATCAGCTACATGACGAGCTACTTTGTTTTCCCTGATGTCTAACTTACAATGGGATTTCACACAAGGAAAACTGTGTCAGTTTAGAAATGGGATTCATTCCTTATTAGCACACATGCTGGGATGCACGCTGCTCCGTAGCTCGGATAGTTTGTGTTATAAAGTTCACAGATGGCTGACTCAGCAGTTGTAGTGAGCAACGTTTAAAGACAGTTGAGTGGAGGTGCCTTTTCTCTGCTCCTGGTCGACTTTTTAATATTATGCAATGTGTCACTGTGGGTTTTTCCAACCACAAGGCATTTATGAATTCAGTCCTCCTCTTCCTTAACCATCATACCACCTTCATTATAAATAAGTCGATTAAAAATAATTCTCCACGGAGATGCTGGTTGAACTTTGCAACTATTCAGGGCTTGTGGTTGAGTTGTGAGTTACTGCGGTTGTTTAGTGGATTCCAAACACTTACAATATGACCCAGCTGGCCACAGTATCTGTTGCTCAATCACACAGACACTGAAAAAAACAACCTGGTTTTTCAAATGGAAACACTTTTCCCTTTTCTGCCTGCAGCGCAGCCATTTAGTCAAAGCTGCCAATACAAAGTAATGCATCATTGTAGTGTCATGAGTAGAGTGTCTCCCCCACCCTCCAAGGGAAATGGTATTATTATCAACTGTAGCTTTTCCATCATTTGTTTTCAGCTCAATAATTACTCCCTCTGGTGATTGATCCCCCTGCTTATCATCAGCTGACCTATATGTCATTTTCCAGCTGTCTCTCAGGACAAACAGGCACGAACATTTTCTCTCCACAAAAAAATCAAAACGATTTGGAGGGTTTTGTTCCCTAGCAACAAGATCTGTTTTTAGAAAGTAATATATAGGTTTCAGTTGATTAAGCCACATTTATTAAAAAAGGTACGTGTTTTTAATATGATTTTGCGGAACACAGACTGGTTACTCACATGCTGACAGTTGGACATACAGAAATCCAGTAATGTTGACGAGGCATCATTTTTTAGAAAAGCTATTTCGGCTATTTTAAGATAAATAAATTCCTGCTATTGCAAAAAAGTCAGATGGCAGACAGAATGTGCGTCTGTAGTTTGATATATGCAGTCCCCCCCTTTATGACTCACAGGAAATGAGCTGCAACAGAAAGTTTTGAAATGTATATAGTTTCTGGGAATACTTTGCTTAAATTCATAGAACATTCAGACTTTGTGCCCAATGTGTGGTTGTGGCACTAGCATTTAGGCCCATCACTTCCATACCTATCCCTAGCTGAATCCTTGTGGGTATCCTAAGGTGTGAAGTCATGGTAACGGCTCCAAGCCATCCGACCTCAGTCTGCCTTAGCGCCGGTAGCTGTCACTCCCCTGGGTGGGACATAGCTACTCTTTGTCAGGGACATAATAGCAGAGATCTTGGAGCCGGCAAGCTCACTGTTAGCTTGCACAGTGACTCTGAGCTCCAGTGTGAATAAGGATTTGGGCGATACTGTATAGGAGAGCCTGGGACTAGCATTCCTGCAGCCGCATCCATGGACACTATAAAGAATGTTGGATCTCAGCCTGTCTACAGCCGCTGGTCATACAGGTAGCTGCACACAGACACATTTTAGTACTAGCACCGGGAGGAAAATCTACTTGATTCACATCTTCCCAAGCTCAATTTGTAATAATAACATGACAAGCTTGTTACTGCAACTGATGGACAGTTATCCTACACACACATTTGTGTAAGCAATTAGTCTAAACCTATCAACAAACTATACTAACAATATTTGAAGTGTTTATCTGTTTAAGTTTAGCATACAAAGGCTTCGTTTGTGCTAGGTTTTTCTTGTGGTTATATTGCAATCTGTTTATATAACCTTTTAAAAATATATAAACTCCATTATGTATTCTGTTTCGAGAATCAATATGGAATCAGGAGTGGTTTTAAATCAGGAAATGATATGACCCCAATATATATACGAAATTGAATCAAACCATGATAGATTCACACCCTAACTTGCAGCTATAGAGGCAGTTGTTTTGAAATGGTTCTTTCGAATCTGAATCAGAAATTCTGTATTCGTCCCGTAGTGGGGACATTTACTGCTTTAAAACACACACACACACACACACTCTCTAACAAAGTCATTTTTTCTTTAGTCCTCCAAACTGAATTGACTTTTCAGGGCCTCTGCCAGACTGCGAAGTCAGCACTTCTTTAATGTTTCTTCCAGTGTCTGCTCCCCCCCCCCCCCAGCTGATGGCTGACCTGCAGTCAAAGATGTGCTCTCGCTCATGTTTCTGCCACCATGTCGTTACTTATTCAGAGCTGTAACCAGAGTTGGTGATTTGTGTGTGTGTATCCAAGCTGGGTTTCCCCCCCCCCCCGTATGTTATTGGCTGCTTAATTGGAACACTAATGAAACTAAGGCTGTGTGGAGAATATCCAAGTGATGACAGAAACAGCTGATGTGACTGCAATTTGTGAATTAATGTTGACATGATGGCCTATGTAACCATATGTTCCTTCATTAGTGATCCAGTTTGTTGAGGATTCAGCTAGACTTTGATCATTGGGTTTGGAAATGTTTGGCAGACTATTTACCGTGGCAAAGTTAATTTGCGGTTGGATATTCAACAGGCCCTTTTCTTACTCAGTTTCACAGAATGCTGGCAGTTAAAGGACAGTTAGCTCACATCGGATCCCTTGCTTTTAACCACAGGGATTCACTTAGGGACCATGAATAAAGTATTGCTTCAATGACACAAAACCAAGGTTGTTTTCAATACCTCTGTCCGGATATCTGTATGAAATAAATAAGCATTTTTTTTAATTGAAACCAAATAATTGTTCATGTCATGTGGCACAGTGACTCTACATTAATACAGCATTATATATAATTACAATGGACACTCCTCTTTATATTGGATTTTAGTGGTTTTTCTGTTTGATATGAATATCTGTATGCAAAACATTTCTGATTTTTTCAATAGCTTCTATCAGGGCTCGAGCTTAAGGACGTCCCGTCGTCCCAGGGCCGAAAAAAA